GCACGTCGTCTATCCGGTCATCCTCGATCACCACTGCGCAGGGAGAAAGCGCGTCAGCCGCGCGGCCTTGGGGGGCGGCGGCGAGAATGGGCCCCCGGTCCTCGCGCCCAGCTCAGCTACTGCCTGTGGCCCAGCGACGCCCTCGGACCCCCATGCCACAGTGTCCTCGCCATCCGAAATCTCCTGCCGACTCAACCCATTGCTGACCCCAGTTCCCACAGACCCCCTCCTCTCTTTGTGGAGGAACGCCCCTCTTCCAAAGGCTCCAGCCGTTCAATCTCCCAGTCCAAATCCTCCCGCCGCCTGAGCTCTCCTCCATCTGAGCTGGAAAGCTTTTGCTCATGGGATCCCCCGCTTCTACCCTCACTTCAACAGAACCCCCTCCTCACACAGAATCTCCATTTATTCCGGCCTTCTCCCCAGTCTAACCCTCTTGCGGCTTGACCCATTCCCATCCTGGCACCATCAGAGACCCCTCCCCATGCAAACAGCCAGGACAACCGAACCCCCGGCCCCCTGCCCACTCTCCAATCGGACATCCCTCCCCACCCGAAGGTTCTTCTGTAGCATCCACCGACTCAGCGTTTGATCCTGAAGAAGCGACCTGTCGCCCCACGTTCCCAGTTTCAGGCAGCCCCACATGCCCCGGCCGGCCCCTCCCCCTCGCCCGGGTGCCAAGGCTCTACTTCCAGAGGTGGTGAGCATCGAATCCGGGGCACTGCGTTCCCAGGAGAGGGGAAGAGGGGGACACAACACTGCAGCAGGGACCCTCCCCCCTCAAGCCCCAGCCCGCGAGCGGCTGGCTGCGCTGGTCTGCGGCAAGAGCTGCGGGCGCTTGGCGGGGAACTGCAGCCGGGGGGCGCCCGGCGGAGGGTTTCTGGGTCAAGTGACGACTCCGGGCCCCCGCCGCGTACCTCTCTTGGCTCGGCCAATCTGGCCCAGCTTGGGGGGTCGCTTGGCTTGGTTGCCCGCGAAGAAGGAGTTGGTGTCCTGTAGGCGGCAGCTGAAGGAGAGGTCAGAGCCCTCGGAGTCGGCGCCGAAGCGGCCCATCTTGTCCTCACTGTAGGGCAGGATCTCGGACATGGCGGGCGCGGGGTGGGCGCGGGACTGCGGCGGGGCGCGGGCGGCGGGCTAGCTGCCGGACCGGCCCTAGCTCAGCAGGGGAGCCGGCGGAAGGATGAAGTCATGCAGCATCCGGGGCTGCGGAGCCAAGCGGGGCCTCCTCCCCCGCGCCTCCGCCTCCCGGGCCGCTGGGCAGGCGGCGGCGGCGGTGGCGGCGGCGGGGACCGGGCGGGGGCGGGGGGCGGGGGTGGCGGCGGCGGCGAGAGCGGAATGACGATGAGCGCCCGACTGCCGCAGAGCGCGGCAGGCGGGGCGCGGTGGAAGGCGGGGCGGACACCGGCCAGGGGAGGGAGGCGGGGCGGGAGGGGGGTGCGGACAGGAGCGCGCCCAGTTCTCTGCGGAGGGATAGGAGCGAAATGGGAGGGTCCTGCACAGTGGCGGGAGTGGCGGCAGGGCGAATGGTACGGGCCATCGCGTGCAGCGTCTAGCGGGGAGAAGCGGGACTAGGGGAGGGCAGGAGCTAGCCTGGCACCCTAGGGGCAGAAGAGTCTGGCGCAGAGGCTCTGAGAGGCAAGCTAGGGGGACTGGGAATTGAGGGGCGGGTCAGGGCCAGAAGGCAGGAACAGAGCCAACATTGCAAGAGGGGACACTGGAGGCGCTGCGCGGTAGGGTCGGATACCGCGGGAAGTCTGCGGGAACCCGCAGGACGCGGGAATAGCTCAGTGAGTGTCGTCCCTGCCATTGGCGGGCTCTTGTGTAGGGTTGCTCTTCGGGTCTTAAACTGTTCCTCTGGAGTCTGTTTCTCTGACTGTCCCGTTTCTGTCTCTGCCTATCCACTCGTCAGTCTATCTCTATGTGTCCGTCCGTATCTGTGTCTCGGTGCCCCATAACTCTGTGTCACGGTCTCTACGGCTGTCTCTTAAGTGTCTCTCCCCTTCTGTGTCTGTCTCCATGCTTGGCTCTATGTGCCACGGTGACACATAGGGGCCTCAGGGGCTGGGAGAACCGCAGGGCGCGGGGGGCGCTTTGAGCCCGAGTTTCGGCGCCAGCTGCAAAGCCGGGGGTGGGGATCAGGCCTGGTACCCGCGCGTCAGCCCAGTTACCGAGACCTCTCCTAGGAGAGACCGAGACTGGCGCCGAAACTCAAGCTCAAAGCGCCCGCGGTGCCCTGCGGTTCTCCCAGTCCCCGAGGCCCGCGCTGCGCGTGCGGTGTAGGAGAAATGAATGACCGCGTTGCGAGGGGCGCCCTGGCTGCAGGTGAAGCGGGGAAGCCCGGAGCCCCTGAGGACGCGGCGCGCGCCGGTGTGTGTCAGGAGGTAGAGGGAGAGTGATAAAGGGCGCCCCCTACCACCTCGTTGCGGAGGGTCGTGTGACAGTTTTCGCTGCACCGGTGGTAACACGCCCTCTTTCCCACCCCAACGCCCCTCCTCCCCCGTCGGCTCCGGCCGTCAGCGGCTTCATCACTTGCTCGCTAGCGCGCAGGGGCTCTGGCGCAATCATTGGCCTTGGGGGGCCGGGGTGGGGGTCCTCATATTTGGCGACACTGACGACACTTCTAAGGGTAATAATCATCCGGGCGCTCAGTCCATATTCAAGGTGGAGGGCTCCCCACCGTCCCTAAAGCGCTTTACCTCCTTCCTTCTGAATTACATAGTTGGTGAGGCTGCCTGGTGCTAGGTCTCCTTGCTCCAAAACTCCCCAATTGTTAATCCCAGGCACGAAATGACGAATGCCCTGGTGGCTGCTCTCAGGGACCAGAATGGGGAACGCGACAGGATGCCTTTTTTCAAGTCTCACTCAACACCACAGACCAGGGACCCATCCCTATCAAGTCCTGCCCTGTTGCGTTCTAGTCTCTGGGATGAGGGCAGAAGCTGGAGGTGGAGGCCCAGCTGCCAGTGAAAGGAGCCTCCAGACCTGGAAAGACAAGAGAGGCTGGAGTCCAGGGTCACTAAGAGAGAGTCCAGAAAATTCCATTTCTATGGGAGGTTGTCCAGTGAATTGTTTGAATCCAGGCTCTGCCACTTTCTGTGTGACCTTGAACTGACAGTCCACAATTACAGTTTCTTTTTAATTAGTTCATTTGTACTTGTAACATTTTAGGAAATTCACACAAAACATTTCATATATATCCTTCCAATCTTTTCCTCGAATATTTGCATAATATGCATACCTCTCTGAGCCCCCATGTTTTAGTGTGAAGCCCAGAGATGACAGAGCCTACAGTAAGGACAGTTCTGTAAATGAACTTGTCCTGAGGTGAAGTAGGTTGTCTCGGGAGGTAATGAGCTGCCCCTCACCAAACGTGTTAAAGTGGCCATCAGGGTTCTTGCCAAGAATAAGAAGAGAGCACTACATGCAGAATTGAAACAATTCTCTCTTCTCCACCCAAGAATGAAGGAGACTGGAGGAACAATTTAACTTGGAATTCATTTGGTTTGCTTCTTAAGTAATCTTATTCCTGTCCTTGCTGTGCACACTGGATCAGGATTAAAGCAAAAGACCTAAGTGCAGAATTGTAAAGACATAGTAATACATAAGCTTCAACTATGTTGTGAAAATATGGGTAGAGTTTTTAAAATTATAATCCTCTACTTAAAATTCTGATGTTCTGCATCCCTGCCCATGAGACGAAAATTCATTTTCACAGCTAAGAGGAAAAGAAGTGTGTTGGGATTTGGGGGAAAATACCTTGAATTTCTCTTGAAAGCCCCTCAAAACCTAGTGGAATTGATCCATAGCCATATGTTCTAAAGAGAATAGTATGCCTTTTGACAACTGAATATTAATGGCCCTTTCATTCAAGTGGAAATTGTAGGCCTGTGTAGTGGGTTGAACAGGTTCCCCCCTAAAATTCCTGTCCACAACCTCAGAGTATGACCTTATTTGGAAACAGGATCTTTGCTGATGTTAATTAGTTAAATTAAGATGAGATCACACTGGATTAGGATGGGCCCTAAATCCAATCACTGCTGTTTTTGTAAGAAGAGGATGCAAGCAGGAGAAGGCCTTGTGAGGAAGCAGAGGTAGAAGTGATGTGGCTACAGACCAAGGAACACTTAGGATTGCTGGGAGCCACAAGAAGATGGAAGAGGCAAGGAAGGATTCTTCCCTAGGGCCTTCTGAAGTAGTATGGCCCAACCTATATTTTGGACTTCTGGCCTCCAAAACTGTTAGAGAGTAAGTTTTTGTTGTTTTAAGCCACCCAGTTTGTGGTACTTTGTTTATAGCAGTCCTAGGAAGCAAACACATTGGTTACAAGCATTTTGGGGTCATCTTTTTACATCTCTCATGACCATGTTTCTCCTTCCTTAAATTCTCTGGGGACCTTTTGCTCCCACCTTGTCCACTCAAAGGAAGCTCATACCATGCGGGTATTTCTGGGACTCTTCTGTTTAGCAGAGGCTGATACATTACAAAAAAGAATGAAGTAGATCTGTGTGGACTGACATAGTAAGATCTTTATAAGGCGTGCCAAAATGTCACCAAATAACAAGTGAAGAGTATGATTTCATATGTTTGAGAAAAGTATACACATATGCATATATACCTACACACACACACACACACACACACACAGTGTATTTAGGGATGTAAATGCACATAAAAGAAAGAGCAGAAGGATACCTACCAAACTGCTATTAATAGTTATCTCTGAGGATGGTACTGGGGTCCTGGTAGGATGAATTTCATCTTTTGTTCTATATACTTCTGGGTATATTACTTTGGCAATAGAAAGATTTTAGCAATTTTTTAAAACTTTTTTATTGAGTTATAGTCATTTTACAATGTATCAAATTCCAGTGTACAGAACAATTTTTCAGTTATACATGAACATACATACATTCATTGTCACATTTTTTTCTCTGTGAGCTACCACAAGATCTTGTATATATTTCCCTGTGCTATACAGTATAATCTTGTTTATCTATTCTACATATGCCTGTCAGTATCTACACATTTTGAACTCCCAGTCTATCCCTTCCCACCTCCCTCCCCTTTGGCAACCACAAGTTTGTATTCTATGTCTATGAGTCTGTTTCTGTTTTGTATTTATGTTC